TAACATGGACATTTTAATTTTTGGCACCTTTATAGGATTATTTTTAAAGAAGTGACGTTAAGCGTGACAGCATGCTTGGCATCAGTGCTGCAAAATTTCGACAATACTCGGTGATACTCAAAATTCTGCTTTGGTCACTCGTTTGAGCTAACAGTCATCGTCAAGGCAAACCATGTCAATTGTCAGTAGCATTTTTGTCAGTGACGAACATGTGCTGATTTGTTTATATGCTAAATTTGAGATGAAATTAAATGGCTTGAGCAAAACAATTACATGGAGCCATTAAAGTGAATAAGCATCTACGTCCTGAACGGCTTGGATAACAATAATGTGTCTCAGAATGCAAGAAATTACACTTTCTGTTACCAGTTGAATCTTTGTCATTGACGAAAAAATGAATGAGATTTTGACAAAGATTTTTTTGAGGATCAAGTCTATCATTGACTATGTGAAAAACAATTTTGTCAATATCGCGCAAAAGTCTGTCAATGACAATGACAAATCTCAGCACTGCTTGGCATACACAGTTTTGCTCACAAACTGCTCATTTGCTAATAAATTTGCACAGAGTTGACGAAACATAGTTCTGTTTGAAGCAGTCGATAGAATAGAGTTTAAACTTTTTTTATAAATAGGTTAAAAAAGGATATTTTAATTCTAGTAATAAACTGTATTTGATTTTGCGTTGCAAAAAATGAAGTGAGAAATGCTCACTGCACATCTCGGACTTTAAGTGTAAAAATTTATTCGTGTTGATTCAAATAATAAGATATAGCCACTCTTTACATGTCTACAGTAAACTATGATCCTAATCTATCAATTACTTTAAAGGAAACTAAATTTCAACAACTGAGTAAAAAGTTATTAACAAATGAGCAGTTGGTGTGTAGAACTGTGCATGCCAAGCATGCGCGAGAGTACACCAAGACGAACTCATTTCAATAAACAGGGTGGCAAGTGAATTTCCATTTTGAAATTCCTGGTTTTCCTGGTCAATGATTTAAAAATTTCCTGGTTTTAAAAACCATGTTTAAATACAATTTTTATTAAAAAAGATAAAGTGAATCCTTGTACCATCATTTTTCGCACAATGCGGAATTTCAAAAACCAAAATAGGTATTAAGGTTCTTGTGAATGCCCGGGAAATCTTTATCTGATTGTTTGCTGTAAAGAAGCTAGCCTATCTAATGTCTGAATCTTAGAGATCTATAAGCCCCTAAATCTTGAGATTTCTGTTTTTGAAACTGTGATTTTTTTTTAACTTTATTATTGAGATTTTTAGTCAACGGGCTAGTTTATCTCAAGGTGAAATTGCGAAGTGTGATATGAATGAGGACTATTTAAGCAAACCTTTGCTTCTAACAATTTTACGGATTTCCAGTTTGTTTAAATTTTCCGCAAATTGTCAACGATTAAGGATCTTATTTAGCGGAATTTTGATTACAACATGATTCCAAAATCATATGATTAAAAAATTTCATAAACAACGCTTGTTTAATAACTCTTATTATTAAAAAGACTGGCTGCTGAAGTTCATAGAAACTCCCTAAAGTTCGTAGAACTTCCCAGAAGCGTTAAGGTCTTTCCTGAAGGGTTCATTGAAGTTTGTATTGTCTGAATTTCATGAGACTTCCCTGAAGTTCGAAGGACTTTTTTTAAGATCTTAGGACTTCCCTGAAGTTCCGAGTTTTTTGAAATTCATAGGAATTTCTTAAATATCGTAGAAGTACCACGAAGTTCGTAGAAATTCTCAGAAATTCGTAAGACTTCCTTCAAGTTCAAAGAACTTTCTCGATCTGAGGACTTCCCTGAAGTTTGAAGGACTTAACTGAATGTATGAGGACCCTAAATCTAGAAGAGCTTCCCTGAAGTTCATAAAGCTTTAAATATCGAAGGGTTTTCCAAAAGTTTGTGGGTCTTTCCTTAATTTCTTGGAAATTCCCTGAAGTTTGGAGAGCTGCCATGACTACCAGTAGTTCAATCGACTACTCGGAAGTTCTAGGAACTTTTTTGAGCTTGGAGAACTATGTTAAGTTTAGAGGACTTCCCAAGAGTATTGAAGACTTCTCTGAAGATCGGAAAAAAATCCATAAGTGTCATAGGATTATCCTTAAGTTTTAAGCAATGCCTAAATGTTGTAGAAAATTCTGTAAAAATCGTAGTTATTCCCCAAAGATTAAAGGACTTCCCTGAAGTTCGTAAGACTTCTCTGACATTTGTAGAACTTCTCTGAAGGTTCGGAGAGATTTCCTGACCGTCGTAGGTCATCACAGTAGTTCACAGGATTTTCCTGAAACTTGTAAGACTTTCCCGAATTTTGTAGAACTTGCATGAAGTTCGAAGGCCTTATCTGAAGTTTTTAGAAATAGAACTTTTTTATTGAACATGTTGAACAGGTACTTCAAAGTAGTTACGCGTCGGCACTGCTTAAGTCTGCTATCAATTAAGCACAAATCATACATGCAATTGATTCGAGAAAAAAATTAAATTAAAAATAAATACAAAATATATTTACTAAATTCTCAGGGTAAATTTTGTTCATCAATGTTTAGTTGTGTGAAAGATTTAGCTTGAACAAAATGGTTAGTTTTGACCTGATTATAAAAAGAAACTTTTCATTAAATTATACAAACAAGATCATTTTCCTGGTGGACTTATGAAATTCCTGGTTTTTCCCGGTTTTTCCTGGTGAAAATAAATTCCCGACTTTTTCTCGGTTTTCCTGGTTTTCCTGGTTTTCCTGGTGCACTTGCCACCCTGAATAAATTACCGTATGCGTGATAATGTTTGCACCATCGTACAAATAAGGTTCCCGTTTCACCTGTGCATACAATGCCTTGGTTTTCTTTGAATGCACGTAACCTATAGCTCATACCGTAGTAGGCTGTGTATAAAAGAAAATGATTTACTTAGTTTGACAGTTGCACCATGACGAAGTGACAGCGTATTCGTGATTTGTCCCACGCGCAAATGTCGCAAAAAGACATTTCAATCGCCGTGGGAGTGTCCCGGTGGACCGGCAAAAGGGTTTTAGACCGAGAAAAGAAAGGACAACTATCCGCCACAGGTCGTCCGAGTTCACCTCGGGTTCCGAGGGTTATCGCTGCTATCAAAAGGAAGATTCGGTTGAATCCAGTGCGTTCAATAAGGAAAATGACAAAGGAACACGGGATCAGTGACTTTATGGCACGGAAGATCGTAAAGGAAGATTGCGGGGCGAAGTCGAGGGCATGGAAAAAAAACTCACATGATTACCAACCGCACCCGGGAGCTACGAGTCGAACGATGCAAGAAAATCTTGAGTTGAGCATGTTTACCGTCGATCCCGTATCAAATTCCAGAACCGACCGGTATATTAGTTCTCTTCCGGTAAAAGACGTGGCCGACGAGCACAAGAACGTGTATCTGACCAAGCATCCTGTATGTTCTTCCGTGGATCAAAGAATAGTACGGTCCGAAGCCAAATGTTGTATTTCAACAAGATGGGGATCCGTGCCACACCTCGAACCGCACTCAGAAGTGGTTGCAGGAACATCTTCCGTTCTGGGCGAAGGATATGTGGCCGCCATCCAGCCCCGATATTAATCCGCTGGATTACTCAATGTGGCGCGTCATGAAGGCCAAGGCCTGTTCTAAACGCCACCCGAGTACAGCAAGCGTCAGACAAACATTGACCCGTACCTGAAGAGAAATGGATCCTGACTACATTATTAGAACCTGCCGTGCGTTTGGAATACGGTATTATTCCAATTGTTTTTAATTTATTTTCTTAAAATTCATTCGTACTGAAAATACTGATACTCACAAAAGGGGGCCAGTACTGACAACCATAGTCCCAAGCTTGACTTTGAACACCTTTGAACAAAATGGGAAAATTCAAATAAAAAAGTTATGGTAAAACAACGTGTTTTAAAGGGTATATTACCATTTGATTTCACCCTATAACTTCGTCCACTTGGGAGATAGACAATTTTTGTCTGCAACAATGTATCTTAAAATGACTTCATCTACAATGTTTTCATAGATGTTCATCAATTTAAATAAGGCATAAAAAAATTATTATTTTTATCTGGGTGTATACCCCGCTTAAACAAAAGTTTTCACTACTCAAAAAAATAAGAAACATTCTAGAAGACATCAAAATGTTACAGTCAATAGCCATGTCCCACATCTTTTGATTCCGACCCACTGTGCGGCGCCGTCTGGGATTGAACCCAGGCCCTTTGAAGTGAGAGGCAGTCACGCTAACACCACCGCCGCCGCTAACACCTCTATGCCAATCAGTAAAAATCCAACGGGCCTGTTGGATTTCGTTGATTATTCTGTTTTCGTTTCATCATCAGCAGCTCGGCATTTGAATAATGACATCAGAAAAGAAAAGTAGAACTAGTTTTCGAGCCTAGTTGTAATAACCCACAGCCGCGGAGTTATGGTAGGTAACTCTCTCATTTCTATATGGTATAGCGCGTATTGTTATTATTTCTTAGGACTTTCAAAACAACGATAAAAAAAAACAACGCGAGAGTAAGTACGCGATTGGGGTACGAAAAGAAAATCGATTAAGATGACCCATTTGCGCGGCCCCTCGCCACACTGTGATGGGGTTTTCCTACTCGTTTTGAATAAAACATCTTCAAGTTTACATGCCTAGTCGCTTACTACGTAAAAGCACTACAACCAGACGGAATGGAGCGTCACTGCGGGAAATTAATTTCCATTGCGGAGACCTCCGCAGTCTCCAGCGATGACTTACTACTGGTATTTTATTACTGCCAGCGGTAATTCCCTTTTATGATGCCCTTCAGTGTGTCGATTAACCGCCTCAATAGCCGAGAATGAAAGCGACTAATCTTCTACTTAGACGGCGAAAAGCCTTTTTTTTTCACCCCACGACGGGGACACTGAGGAAACCCAAACAAATGCCTCCATTATAGGTGATTAAAGGGTGTGGAATAGGTATATGTACAAACAAAAATCTAGACTGTTTTCCGATTATTTACTTGCTGTTCTAGCTTCTGGTGTCTGCTATTATTGATTGCACTCATTTCTGCTCCGTTTCAGTACTCCGTGCACTGCGCTAGCCTATTGGGATGAATGATGAATGATGGATAAGCCGTCCAGTTATGAATGGACTCCTCTCTATACGTTCGGTTTCTTCACTTTGCACAATTATTATATTTAAGGAAAAAGCACTTCTTTCACAAACACCGCCCAAATGCTCTGCTGCAGCAGTATGACTCCTTGTTGCAGCTGCAGACAACAACTCCACTGCAATATGTATTTTAGCCTAAAGTACACACGCGAAACCGATGATACTAAAAAGCAGTATCCAGCTCCCGTCCCGTAACTATTTTATCGATATGTCAAACGGACGACGCATTCGCGATTGCATTCAATATCTCCTCGGCGGCAGGCTGTGTATTCTAATACCAAGACCGACTTCACAAGCCGTCGTGTATCGTTACATTATTGCTGGCTGCCACTTTTCCCATATACGTAAACGACGGTGCACGGACTCTAGGTATATGTTAGAGAACCACTCCGTGCAGCACTTTATTTTTCAACAACAACAACACTATTCTATGTTTCTTTCTTGCTTTGGATATTTATTCTGCTTTATACACACAGCACATACACACTGGACTGACTGGACTGGAGTAAATCTATGGGCTGGACTCTGTGACCGACTGACTCTGTGTGCAGAACGAAGGCAACCGCGAGGTTCCCGTTTTTGCGTCCTACCAGCTGCACGCCTTAACAAACAATGAACACTGGTTCTCTCTCTCTTCAGGAACGACGCTGTGGAACTGGAAGTTGGATACACTACCGCCGCACTATGGGGATTCCGGTGGCCAATAAGAAGAAGACCGACTTTCACTGATTCAAAATATGCGTATTACCATATCGAAGTAAATGCCCTAGCTGCCTAATTTGATATGACTAGCAGAAAATACAAGTTATGAAAGTTGAAAGAACTGATAAGTCATAGAAAAGTATACCATTTTTTAGCTTGAAACCTGAGCTTTCCGAAATTGTGGACGAAATTACGCACCGAGCATGTTTATTTTCACAAAATAAAAAGTTTCTCCAAGTTCCTCGAAACTATTTATGAGGGAATAAAGTCTAAACATAGACGCTGCTTTGAAAGGTGATTTCAACTGCACTATCGTAGGAACGCTCAATTTAAAATCTTAATGTTTTGAACAATTAAACCATCTTCATAAATTGAAAATCTATTTCTTATAAAATCGAATATACCGATATCAAAACTAGAAATAAAATCTGATCGAAGTGGTTTCATCAACATCGGTCAAGAAATTATGAGATGGAGGCTTTAACCATTTGTTTAGATGAAAAAGCTTGGGTACGCAAAGGTTAATAGTACGTTCAGACTACAGAGTTATAACATGTTATAGCGCTATCTTGATGGTGGTTTCTGTGTTGCAATTATTTGACAACCGTTATAACATGTTATAACTCTCCAGTCTGGACAGCGTTTAACGCTCCAACTAAAGAGCTAATAGTACGTTCAGACTACATAGTTATAACATATTATAGCGCTATCTTGATGGTGTTTTCTGTGTTGCAATTATTTGACAATCGTTATAACGTGTTATAACTCTCCAGTCTGGACAGCGTTTAAAACGCCGGCCAGACTGACGAGTTATAACATGTTATAACGGTTGTCAAATAATTGCAACACAGAAACCACCATCAAGATAGTGCTATAACATGTTATAACTCTGTAGTCTGAACGTACTATAAGGGTAGAAATATGCCCAAATACATATATCTAATCTAGATAAACATTTCAAAAGGTCCTATCTGCATTGATTAATTCTCTTCATCGACTTTCTCTTTCGTTGATAACTCAGAAGCAGAACGTTTCCCTGTTGTATTTGTGGTTTTGGACGCTAGATAAGAATCTGTTTTATCAAACTATGTGGTTAAAATAGCACGAAATCTGTTTGCATAGGTTATCAACAGAAGGAGAGAATCGATCAAAGCAGATAGGACCATTTGAAATGTTCATCGAGTAATGTACCAAACAATCAATTTACGCGACAAACATATTTTTGGCCACCTGTTTGCATGGGATCATCCCATAGTGAACCGGTGCAAACGTAGCCATAACGGTGAAGCGTGTACACGAGAGAGTGTTTGAATGAACCGAACCCAGTGGAATGAATGCTCGCGGATCGTTCAACATACAAACGGAGAGCATAGCTGTTTTGGCTGAGTTCTGGTCGATTCTGGCCCATAAAGCAGCATAAGACATGGCTGGTGATAGCAGACATCGAAAGACCAACGTCGGATTCGAATTTTATCAAATGATCAGCCGTCTCCCCATTTATGCGTCCTGTAACTGTAAGCTGGGTTTAGACAGTGCAAGTCAATTGATCAAGTCAGTTGAATTCAACTGATTAGAACGCGAATTGATCTCAACTGACTTGATGAACTCGCTTGAATTGAAAAAAGTTGGACCAAGCTCAACTTTTCAAGCCAATTGAATTCAAGTGAGTTGATCAATTGACTTGAATCGCAAGGGGCACGCAATAACCTTTAACTCCAACGCAGGCAACGGCTGTAATTAAATAATTCCAATAACTACTGCTTTAATTACATTAATTACACAATGTAGAACATTACAGGCATAACATTTGATAACGGCACAAAAGCATTTGTAAACAAACTTTCTAAGGCCCTTTACACGCAAACAAAAGTACGCCCACGCAAACAAATACCACTTTCGGAAAGGTGATAGTTGCCCCTATCCGATGATTTTGTTGGTTTGCGTGGGCGTACTTTGGTTCACGTGTAAAGGGCCTTAGAAAGTTTGTTTGCCAATGCTTTTGTGCCGTTATCAAGTGTTATGCCTGATTAACTACTTTATAACTCCTTTAATTACAGTTGAAATTTTGTAATTAAAGTACATTAATTACGGATAGATAATTTGAATAACCGTCAGTAGTACTTCAAAACGCATTAATTACTTTAAGTACTTTTGATTGCATTTTAACTCCAACGCACCGGTTCTTTGTATTGCGTGCCCCTCGGGGTTTTCTCCCACAAATTTTATGAAGTTATCGTCAGAATTGTTTTGGAATTTTCCTCAGAAATTACTATCAGCTTTCATTCAAATTTTTATTGAATTCAGTTCATGGTTTTTTTAATGCTCCTCAAAACTATCTCAGGCTTCTCATGAAATCGAAAATTCCTTAGAACTACCTTAACAGCAGATTGAAGTTGGTGTTTTTCTCAAAGATTTTATTCCCCTTGGAGTGAGTTCCTTAGAAATTATAATTAAATTCCATGCGCCTTTAAAACTGTGCATGAATTTGACTTTAGTTTATTGAATTTTTTGAAGAAAAATCCTAATTTCAAAAACTTGGTCAAATTTTAAATTTATAAGAAATACGCATATTCCAGGAGAGACAAACCAGCCAATGGCTGAACGTTTCGTTAATAAAGTAACCTAAACTAACCATATTTCAGAACCAAAAAAGTTCGTTAAATCCTCTGATTTTATTCAAATTGATTTGTTTCTGAAGATTAATCCACTCTGGATAAGTAATGTTCAATGTGTGAATGAAAATAACGAGGATAAGATATAAAATTTGTTGCACCCATCAGATACAAACATTTTGAATGTATTTGGCCACCTTATGCATGCTCATGTGCTCCTGTGGAGACATTTTCAGAGGTTTTAATAGATTCTTGAATGCCAATTTACACATTTGGGGGCTGTTCATAAACTACGTAAACAATTTTTTTGGGATTCTTGACCCCTCCCCCTGCGTAGACAATTGTCCATACAAAAATTTTAAAATTTGTATTGGCCGTATCCCCCTAAACTGTCTACGTAGTTTATGAACAGCCCCTAAGCGCTCTTGAAGTGTAGGAATATTGCTCCACCCCTAGTGATAAAAACCAAGGCTTGAGCGCCTTTTGCATGCTGAAATGACTTAACAAAACATAATATAAACTGTTAGGAATCAGCTGCCGGAGAAACGAATATGCGAATATTTTTGAAATATTTATTAATATTTAGAACTATATCAAACGTTTGGATTGGTTACTCACATTACAGTTCGAATTATTTCACCTACACGTTCCGTGGTCAATATCTCATCCCGTTAGCACGGTGCTGTTATTGATCATTCACACACTTACAATATAATTTAAATTCAATTCGCAATTCCAGCAGATCTTATAATTAATCTAGCGGTGCCAGTAGTGTAGTGGTAAGTGTGATTAGCTCTTACCCCAGCAGGTTCAATCCCAGTCAGCACCGCCGGGATTTATCTCTGATCACGTCTTCCTTCGGAAGGGAAGTAAAGCCGTTGGTCCCCGGTTCATGAGTTGATGAGCCGATAGGTAGGGTTCAGGCAAAGATATCTAATTAACAAGATATCCCACTAATCATTTCCTTATACCAGGCATATAATTACCACCCTTAAGTAATCGCAGTGCCATCTGTTGAGTGCACATTGAAACTGTTGGGAGTTCCCCGTCAACTTCACCACCAGGGTTCAATAACAGACAGGTATCAGCATGACAGATGTCAACGCGTACGTTGATGATCAGCCGAGGGAAGAGGGCGATATCATCAGACCCCCTTCACTCTTTGGAATTTATAGAGACAGATAACAGCGCCAATAGGTTTGTGACGATACAACGTTGAACTGCAGCGTTGGAAGAAAACACACACACCATCATATATGTACGAACCCACACCTCTGAGTGGAGGAGGGTACAGCGCAAATCAAAACACGGAGCGGTGTCATCACTCATCGTCATCACTCAGTTTCGGCAGCTTCAGTTTCCTTTCAGTCATTGAAAAATACCTTCGTTATAAAATAGAATAGTAATCAATATTCCAACGTAATTTTTGAACAGCCAATAGCATGCAGCGTTGGTCAAGGAAGACAACATATTTTATTACTGTTTAGCAATGATTTCGATACGTTGCGTTTTTCCATGTATACTTCTATGCTTATAAAGATTATGTTGAGCAACAGCTTCATAAATCATAAAATCTCGATTACTTTTTCGAAGGGAAGTGTCTGCATTTGCATCTTACTGATACCGGTGGTGATATTGGAAACTCGTTCACTCGAAAGCAGAAACAAGCCCATCATGATGTGAGCTTAGATTTGATTGTTTTCTCAAGCGTTTCTGATGCGTATAACGTGGTAATGATTGAAAATCGAAGCAATTATAACGAAGTGAGAATCTTGCTATAGCAATATAATGATGATGACATCGATCATCATCTTCCCTCGGCTGATCATCAACGTCCGCGCTGGCATATGTCATACTGACACCTGTCATTTATTGAGCCCTGGTGGTGAAGTTGGCAGGAGACTCCAAACAGTTTCAATGTGCACTCACCAGATGGCACTGCGATCACATAAGGGTGTTGTATCCATAGCCTTGTTAGAAGAATTGATTAGTGGGATATCTTGTTAATTAAATATCTTTGATTTTCCCCAAATGTATTAGAATGTTTTGGTTATATCTCTTTCACTCTACTCAAAACTGAAATGCATAAAAAAATGACAAAATGATACACACTTTGCACACTGTCAAAGAATCATTGTACACAAAATCAACTTTGTTCAAATCAAAACAAAAAAACTAACCCATCTGGTGGATGATGGCACAAGCTTCCAAGAAAATTCTATTACAGTGAACCACATTATTTTAATGGATTTCTTCACCAGTTAGTCGTCTGTCACTTCGTTTGTCACCATAGTCAGGAATACTTTTTTGCAGAAAAAAAAACTTATTTTCAATATAAACACGCTTATTAGCGTTAAATCTCGAGTCTACTATAATTTCAGTATATTTGAGTATGAATGGTAACAAATTTACTATGATTCTGGCAAATCTACTATGTTTGCTCAAAATGCTATGTTATTTTAATAGAAATAATAGTAAAATTTAATGAAATTGTTTTCTGAAAAAATCTATTGGTGAGGGTATTTAATTTAACTTTATTTTAGTATTTGTAGCGTAGTCTGAACGTTGTAACAATGGATAAATTAATCGGGAATAGTGAAATATGTTCCGCTTCAAGGCGAAAATTTCAGCCCTCATCAGAAGAACCTTCAAAATTCTTTCATCAGCGGAGGCTCAAACCATCGCTAAGTTTTTATTCAATTCCTCTATTAACTTGAAAGCGAAATTAAATGGGCGACTGTTGTTATTGAAGTTTAGTAAATTTGAACAAATTGAAGTTTAGTAAATTTGAGTTAATTTTTAAACAAATGGTAAACAGAACTTTTTAAACAAACGTGAAACAGAAAGCATTTTCTTTAACACTATCATCCATACTAAAACAATTTCGAGGCACGCACGATAAGTTTGTTTGAAAATAAGCTCGAGCTGTGGCATCATGATTTTTTTTAAATCTGAATGAATGAACCTTAATATTGAAGGTTTCCCAAAAGTTCAGGTTAATTAAAATAAACACAATTTCTTTGGACAGAAATGCTGTAGCGACAAAACTTTTATTCTACTTATAATATTTTCAAATTCAAATTCAAGAGATTCGTAAATTAAAACCGATCTTCTCAAATCATCATTATTATAAGGTTGTATATAGATAAGCGATAAATTAAATTTTTCGCTGTAATAATTACTATTTACAATTTTTATTGCTTTATGACAAACGAAACGAAACCTGCAATATATATTTAATCATGCCCAAAATAAAATACATACCTATCACCCTAATAAAAAATAACCATAAATGAACGATAACCCAAATAATTGAACTTTTCCACTAATGGTTTGGAAGATACCCAGAACACGTCGTTAAGCAAAATAACCATAACAATTTTATTAGGGCAGCGTTCAACAACGGTTAATCCCGTACTCACCACCCTACTACGACAGAGTGCGTCAACCATTCGTGCTCTTTTTTGTTTATGCTGCATGGGATCCCTGCCCAAAAGAGGGATCAAAACCAGACGCACGACAACCCGACCTCACGTTTGTCAAACCTGCTTGCACCAACACATCCTCACCGCAACTGTAAACTCGTCAGGTGTTTCATCAACACAACCAAACAACCAAACACAGCCGAAGGACAGAACGAGATAGCAACAAAACACTCCAACCATACCTATCCCTATCTCTCCAACGCCTTCCCTGACGAAGTCTGGTGCCACTTCCAAGCGCAACATAAACTGCTCAGTCGAATGCACACCCACTACCGTCTCGATTGCTATCGCTTCGTTTTCGTCTCAAAGCACACACACACACTAGCCTGAAAAAGGGAAATTTTTACATTGCCGTCGTCGTCGTCGAAGACCAAAAAAATCCTCAATCGCGATCTGAAAATGGTAAAAGTGGCTTCATCGCTGAGCCAACGGTGGTGCGTTTTGTGCAAAATTCAAGACTAAATCCGGCGAAAAAGTGCTTCAAAACGTCCGGAAAGTGCAGTGCAAGGTGAGACCCGTTCGTTTGTGATATTTTCCGCCGGGGAAAAGTGTTTTCCGATGGGGAAATCCGTGTTTTAAAATTGCCAACCAACCAGCCAAGTCAGTCAGCCCAAACGCAAGAGGCACCAGGCAGCGGATATTAAAATGGGGGGTTCAAGTACCTTCACCCATACACCATTGATTGGGAGCGAATGTTCACGTCAGAAAAGTGCTTCTTGCTCGCCAACTCGTTGCAAATCAAAAGGCGAGGAAAAAAATGGTTGCCCAGAGGAATTTCGGTGCGATTTTTCGTTGGTGGATGGGTTTTTGGAATTATGGTTGAGGAAAATGCTTTTTTCCAAACCCAAGAGTGCAAAAATTTCACACGGTTTGGTGCGAGTGGAAATTTCTTTAGGCGTCACCATTTTCCATGCGTAACTGGGGCATGTGAAGAGTGCTGAAAAAAAAAACCGAAGTGTGATCTTACAGTGGAACCCGGCTAGTGCGGTTGTTGTTATGAAAGCGTTCCTGGCATGCGAGAGGGTTTTCCACGAATGTGGGTGGTGGCGGCTTTAGACGCTGGCTGACACAAATTGGTGGTGCTTGATTGATGTTGGCTAATTATTGAGCCACGTTTGAAATCATCTCTTCTTAGTTGGTGGTGCCCGAATCTGGGGGTCCCGACAGCTAAGTATGCAATCGTTGTCAGAAAAATACTTATGAAAAAGAAATTGCCGAAACTATGGTTTATTTGAAACATAACGTTGTAAAACACAAACAATTCTAAATTAGTAATTAGTTTCGTTTCAGAGAAGTTAGTTTATTTTGTGGAAAAGGTATCAAATCACTGTTTAGTATTTCAGGTTGATGTTTACAAGACTCTAGAATTAGATAAGCTAAAATTCAAGTGTGATGTAATTAGGGTTGTTTTGCCGGTAATACCGAATTACCGGTTTTTGATTAGTTTTTATATCCAATGCCTGTAGTTCAATTAGAGCAACTATAAGTATTACGTTAATTCTGATCTACTCTGATAATTTACAAATATCAAAATAAATCAATCAAAGATCCTAAGTTAGATTAAGACTCTTCAAAGGTTATTGAGCTATCTTTAGCTATTGTTATAAATTGTACCTAAATATAGCTGTTAAAACATTATTTTAAACTAAAAACAGCTTGCATCTTGAAGTTCTTAGAATGTTACAGATTGGAGTATAGTTGATATTTGAAAACAATGTTTTGTTTTGTAATTCAAAACTACGACATTGTCTATCGGTCATAATATTGTTTTTTGAAATAGCTTGGGCTAGCAACTGAGCTCGATTTGGACTGTTGAAAGTTTATCAACAATATTGGGTGGGATTAGCTGGATAATAGATTATTCATCCAAAAAGGTATATTTAGCTTGAAGTTAACAAAAAAATGCTTGCTGTACCTCTAATAAATCCATAGCAACCTATGTACAGTTCTCGATAGAACTGGAATTAGGGCGTAACAGCTTTTGTAAACAATTTCTTCTCCCGACGATTTCTAGGAATTCAAGGCACGCCCACGCAATTCAACATAACCATCGGGTAGGGGATTTCTTCTTCTACCCCCGGAGGTGAATCTACCCCAGGCTGAAAGCCTCCTTAATAAAGAAACCTTACCTTCTCCTACCCGACGGTGGTGTAGATTTGCGTGGACGAGCCTTGACTTGCTAGAAACCATCGAGAGAAGACATTGTTTACAAAAACTGTTCACTCTAAATAGAGTTAGTGTTTTGAACTTACACCTGTGTTCAATGTAATAGCAGCGCATGTCGATTTCCATACAAAATTATTAACTTTGACAAGTTGTAACTTTGTTCTCTTAAGATCAATTGAGCTGAAACGTTCGCCACAGAACTACAAATATGTTCAATTTTACGATTGCAAAATACCAAATTTTTGGAAGCACCTGCCGGAAAATGAGACACTAGGTAAAATTGTTCCAAAAATTTGTTTCCAAATCCACTCCAAAATTATTGACACCAACAGGTAGAGGATTGTTTCCTCTATCAGCTGGCATTGTTAATTTGGAGGGGTAAGCTTTTAGCTGCGAGCAATCGACAGCAGAAGCCATTGTTTACAAAAGCAATTACACCCCTTTGAAATGTTGGCACTGAATTATTCTTTTTGTGCAAGGCTGTTGACAGTTTCGGAAAGCTTAATTATTACAGCGATGGTGTTGTTCATCTATAATTTCAGAAGTGGCTTCAACTTACTCAGCCGCTCCTACGATACGTTTCTTACCTATGGCAAAGAAATTTTATTTCAAAAACGGATCTCTCTTTGTAAATCAAATTCTCTCTAGAACATAATTCGACTTCTTAGTTATTACTTACCTCTTGTTTGAATAAGAATTTATCTTTAAAAAGGAACAGAAGGAATTTTTCTCCTCAAAGATGCATGTTAGAACTATATATAGGAGACGTGTGTCGGAACCTACCTACTAATAAAAACCACATTCCAATTCTACACGTTGTAGATTCATTTTTATACCTGTGATCTTGACATTTCTATCTAGGGGATTAGTACTTAAGGCTAGATTTGGATAAGTTCTTTAGTGGAAATGACACTGATGAAGACTGCAAATTGTACTAGAAATACTTATCTGTCATGAATACCAAATTTAATTAAGTGGAATTAAATGGAAGATAACAAGCCACCCCCGACACGAATGCCACGATGATGGTAAAGTGTCGTTAGTAAATAATAATAATAATATTAATTTATAACCTGGAAACTCAGGGTATCTCAGGGCATTTTCTTTAATTTCAGGTTAAGATTTCTCAATCCATGTGAAAGCAGTTGAGGGCAGTCCACATCGCAATTTAAAAGTTTCGCTACAAATAAGGCTTGTTGCATTTTTCTTCTGTGTTCCAATGTGTCCAATAGCATGCATCGGTCTGCATAAGGTGGTAAATTATTTGGCCACGGCAAGCTGCGCAAAGCCAACCTCAAAAATCTTTTCTGAACACGTTCTATTCGGAGATTCCACACTAGCTCATATGGATACCATACCACAGATGCATTCTCAAGTATGGGCCGAACCAGATAGATATCGAGTAAACTAGAAGATTAAGCGTATTTTTCAACCGATTCGAGCATGAATATGGCATTAAATCTGGTTTTGAAAGTTGGTGCAAGGTAAAAAGTGAGGTTACGGGACACCACTGGGCCGAAATAAAGAGCAATATACTGCCTTCAAGCAGTGAGGGTCTGTGAAATCTCGTGCAATCTTCGAAATAAATCCCAGTATACGATTCGCCTTAGAGATGATCGAGGAATAGTGAAGATTGGAGGTCAACTTTGGGTCTAAAAGAACACCAAGATCACTGATACGTTCTATTCTGCGAAGCATTACATTGTCAATGCAGTAGTCGTAAAGGATTGAACTCTTGGAGCGGTGAAACGTCATCACTGCACACTTTGGAACGCTGATGATGAGCTTATTGCGACGGCACCAATCCACAAACAAATCTAGCAGAGCTTGAAGACGATGACAATCCTCATTCGAGTGAACTATGACGTATAGTTTAAGATCATCTGCATAAACGACCTTGCATTTAACTTCCAACAAAGCTGCTACATCGTTAAAGAATAACGTAAACAAAAGTGGACCCAGGTTACTTCCCTGAGGTACTCCAGAGGTGCTGGTAAACGTAGAAGAGACACAAGATCCTAGTCGTACTCGCAGAGTTCGTCCAGTCAAATAGGAATGTAACCACGACCTAAGTTGCTCAGACGCTCCTAGTCGGGAAAGCTTGCATAACAAAACCTTCTGGTCGATTTTGTCGAATGCAGCTTTCAGATCAGTATATATGACGTCGTCTTGTGCCTTATCCTCCATGCATGTACTGGTGAAATCCAAAAGGTTAGTAGCTACCGATCTACCGGGAATAAATACATGCTGGTCAGTAGTTGAAATGTAGTTCTTCGAGCGATTCAGGACAAATTCGCTCAAGATGATCTCAAACAGTTTGGACGCTGCCAAAAGACTGGTGATACCTCGATAGTTCTTAATATCCCGTTTATTGCCAGCTTTGAAAACAGGAAAATATGCGACTGCTTCCACAATGTTGAGAATTTTCCTTGCTCAAAGGATGCATTAAATATGGCTGCTAAAGGATCTGCTAAGGCAGCTGAGCAACGGCAGAACACCACTGCCGGAATTCCATCTGGACCAGGAGAGAGTGAGGTTTTCAGTCTCCGGCATATCAGAGGCAGCAGATTCAGCTTCAACGTCACTTGTCATATTTTTATCGAAGACAGATGCAAAGTATTTAGCAAACATCTTACACGCTTCGCTAAGAGAAATGGACTCTTTCTCATCGAGTAGCATGTTGGACGGTATACTCATAGAGGTAACTCTAAGACCAGAAGGTCCCGAAGAAACGAGCTCAACTTTTTGGCTCAGCTCTGGTATTATCTTCGGTCCCAAGCTAATCGGACATAGGAAAATCCACGAACCCCTCATTTTATCTGTAAAACTTTCATAGCGAATCAAAACAAACATAGTGTAGTGCTAGAATTTCGACTAGAATGGGGTTCGTTAATCGATTTGCTTGGGACCAATGTCAAGCAGTGAGCCAATTTTAAATCGTTAGTTTCGAATTGATTGTTGGTTTACTCAAATCTTTCCTTTTTCTGTTGACAAAGCTCCAAAAATTACGGGGGATACGCCGCAAATTCCACTGGCCTCTGAGGACGTGTGATTTGTACAAGGCACTGTTTCGTGTCAGCTGTTCTGTGACGACGTAGTTTTCTCTGGACTGCGTTTTGCTCACGCTTCAGCATTCTAAGCTAAGCTGGGGAAATTGGTCGTCTTTTGAGAGGAACATGTGATTCCACGTTGCAAGCTGGGTGAGATGGCGAGTCAAGTGGAGCAGGTAGCTACATAATTAAAGAAGGATGGTGAGATTCAATAGGTAAAAGCGGATTCGTCGATATCGAAATCATTTTCACCGTTGCAAAATACCAAATCCAAGTTCATTTCGGAATGTAT